GTCCCGGCGTCTCTCAGCGGGCAAGGGTTGAGCCTTGAGGAGTGAAAGGCTTCAGCCCGGGCTCCGCTGTCAGTCCTCAGCGATGGATCTCCAGTTTTAGCAAACTTCCAACAGTTTGCTGCTCCGAGCGGTGTCCCACTTCAAGGGAGATGCTGGGCACAGCCCCCAGCGGTCCAGGGGAGCTCCAAGGGCCTCGCTCAGGAGGTTTCATAGGATCATGGGAGGATTGGCTTTAGTCAGCAGCACATTCCCAGTCCTGGCCACAGCCCGGGTTGGTAACTGCTGGAATTCCAGTAACGCTGCGCCACTCAGGCTGGGGTTTGGATAAGGTGTGCTCTGAGGCTCTTGGGGGGGGGATAACTGATTGTTCCCATCCTCGCTCCCCGCCCCGGCCATGTAGGAGTTTTGGGTATGGACAGTGCTGCCCCGTCGCCTGGCTCCTTACACCAAGGCCGAGGTCTGGTGGGAGCTTCAGAAATCGTAAAGCAGAGAAATCCAGCAGAAAAGAGATGGGGGGTGGGGGGAGAAGGGGGTGTCCCCAGAAGCGGTGCAGTGTCAGCAAGCCCTGAAGGGTGCTAGGGCCTAGCTGCCACCCCACTCCATCTCCTCCCACAGCCCAGGCTGGTTGGGGAGCTCCTGATGCTGCTGCCCGTGCCGCTGCCCCTCGGCAGATCCTGCTCTCCTGTGCACAGACCCAAACATTGGTATCGAGGGGTTTGGGGGCTGCGCCTGCCCCAGCATGGGCAGCCGGGCAAGGGTGAGGCTGCTCAGGGTGACCACAGCCTCTCAGTGCCTTCTGGGCCCCAGAGACGGATGCAAAGATGAAAATCTCATTGAGATTTAGATTGGAAAACGCTGGCAAGCAGGGGGTGGCCCTTTGGTACTTCCCAAAGGCTCCCTCCAAGCAGCAGACTCGTTGGAGGTCCCAGGCCACGCGGGCATCGAGGTGGCCCTTTCTGTCCTTCCCTGGCACTCCAGGGGAGCAGGACATTTGCCAGCGGCTTTCTGGTCCCTGGAGGAGGGTCCAACCCTCGCAGGGCTTTCGGCAAAATCCCCCCTGCAGGGCACAGTGTAACCCACCCCGGCGCTGCAGCTGCATTGCAGGGTGGTGTCAGCTCATCTCCCCCCTGAGAGCCACTCTGTGCCAGGCGTCAGCGTGCACCCGGCCCGGGGATTAAGAGGCTGAATCCCTAAGGGATCCTCACCGGGTGATCGGTGTTTAAAGGCTTTGATCTGCTGCTGCTTGACCGTGTTACAGCCCCTCAGTGGAATTTCTCCCGTGTAACTGAGCCCCGCTGATCCATCCTGGCCATATATAATGGATGGTGTGGGGTGAAGGAACACAGATGTGGCTGTGTGTTGGTAACGGAGGCCTGGGCAGCGGTGCAGCCGGTCCCTCTGCTGAAGATCCCCCACTGTTGGTGCCGGGCCCGTGTGCCCG